AAAAAAATCATTTCTTCAATAGCAGCGCAATAGATCCATTTGGAATTTTGAGCAGTATTATTAGTAATTTAGGTATTATTGGCCCTACTGTCAAAGAATTTCAAATTCTTGATTTTAATAAAGAATTAATTTGAATGAGTTAGGTTTTGAATTCTTTTCCACAAAGGAAAGTGTAAGAGCACATGACAAGTAGACTGAGGCTATTCCTAAAAAATTTATTTTACATTCTGTTGTCTTGTGTTTTTTTGAACTGGACTTTATAGTTCTGTCATTACTTACTTCATTATCAGACTTCTGAAATCACTGTATTAATTTTGCTGGTTCCTAGAAGGTAAAATATTGTTTCCTCTTTATTAAGACTTCTATAATTTATTGACAGTGACTTACGTGTACTATTTCACCATTTACAATTTGTGTTCAAGTCGTACTATATTTGAAATTTATTGCTCGAGAAGATTTAACAAATTTTCCTTTGAACCTGTTTTGGAAACAGACAACACTCAGGATTGATGTAAGAGATTTAAAGGGAAAAAAAATCTTTGTGAAAACTTAAAACTGCTTCTTAGAAATTTTAAATTATTGGTTGAGAGAAATAATTTAGTTTCATAATAGAGACTTGACGTCAATATAAGAGACTCTGAGTTATAAATTTCCCTGAAGATTGGAATTTTTAACGAGTAGTTTCCATAAATATCGGTATAAAGTTGTAAAAGCTCAGGAATGTTAACTACTGTAAGTTAACTACTGTAAGTCAGTGAAAAGCGACTTGCAGTAACCAGGATAAACAAAATTTAATGAAGCTTATCAAAGGAATCAACTCTCAATTGATGTACTGTAGAAGGAGGGAAAGGTCCACCACATATTTTATTTAATTTGCTGCCACGAGTCGGTAAACCTTTCACTGCTAGTTCTTTGCTTGAGTATAAAAAAAGGCAAAAGGCAATTTTTATATTCCAAGAAGCTCTTCAGTTTTTCACTTTTAATCATGTCATGCAGGATTCGTAAGACTATCGATCGCCTGGATTCACGTTTAAAAGAATATTTGACTACCGTGGATGAAAGTGCACGCATACCAAGAAAAAGAACCGAAAGCGAAAAGTTGATCAAGGAGTTGAAGCACGATAAAAGGCACTTTGAAGATGTTATTTAAGTGTTAGAAAAATGTAATCATGATTGTTCCACGTTGGTAGCAAATTTATCAAAAATAGGAAAGGAAATTGAGGAACGACTACATTAGCAGTATACAAAAAAAGAAAACTCAAATTTCCTGGCAGCACTTGATAAGGCAAGAATTTTGCTGGGCATTTAAGATGCAAGAATAAGCCAAATTTTTGAACGGACGTGACAGCATGCTCCTAGTGCAGTTTGTCTTAGATTTCAACCTTTAAAGGTTACGTCACCTCAGCTACGTCTTACTTTGTAACTTTATTACATTGTAAGAAGATTATATTTCTATAAAATGTATCTTTTCAAAAAAATAAAAATTTGAAACGCTGCTGATATACCTTTTCTGTTTTCTGTAACCAAGTTGCTATAACAGTTTTTTCCCTTTAACGAACTTAAACCATTAAAATTGTTGCTGATCACGTGTGGGAATAAGATAGGATCGCTAATAAAGGAAGTAAGGAAAAATGAGAAGGGTGTAATACAGTAGAACGCTTAGTGTTGAACAGCTTCCGCAGTAGCCACTATCGCAGCTTAAATGTTCAAATCCAGTGATTCACTCTGACTGCTAAAAGCATTTACTTTTTGAAGCTGTTCCACGGCTCTGAACAATTTTATCATCCGCTGTTGATATTCTGATGATGAAGGCCCAAGCATAATTTCAAGACTGAAATTCTGCAATTCTCTGGGAAGGAGGAACCTTCCCAGAGAGTGTATCGACGTCTCAAACGAGTAAATTTGCAGCACAAAAAACCGATGTAGCAAAAGTCTCAAAGAAACTAGGAAAATTTCTTATTACTTCTCAGTAAGCTATCTATAGTGTTTAAAAAAGCAGTCCAATTCTCGCCTGCATTATTAAGCTGTTTTAAAATTTATCGCACAGTGGAGTCTGAACAAGTGTGGAATAGATAACACTGCAAAGTGCCATCCATAAGGCCGCTGCAGTGCGTGACTGCTGATGCGGAGTAGGTTCTGACCGACACTGAGAACATCGTTCACAATGTGCCGAATTTCCACCTGAGCTTTCAGAATCACTGGAATATAGTGAAACTTGGATAGTAAAAATATAAGCTGAAGATTTCTGTGCGAAGTGATGATTAAACTGACTTATCGATAAATTCGTCAAGGCGCTGCTAAGAAACTGTTCCCTGCAAATTCATTTTCCATTCTCCTTTTATACTAATTGATTAGAAAATTCTCACGCTGCTTGCTTTTCCGTAGGTTATAATTTTTTCCTAAAAAACGGATGTTAAAATAGATACACTGCTACAACTATTATCCAACAATTTTGCGCTCCCTGCTTCAAAGTTTCATGAGCTGGTGACAGACAAAGCTTCCTCTGGCTGCAAAAACACACCTATTGTAAAAATCCTTATCCTAAATAAGTCTCAATCTTTTTTTGTCTCAGTGCTTTAAACTCTGCAAAAAAAGTTTGCAGAGTGAGTGTAGAGCAACAGAACCAGTTTACTAGCACTAAGACCTGAGGCCTCTCAACGTAAGATACTTGAGTATAGTACATAATTTCACTAAAAAATTTGAACCCTGTTTTACAACCGAGTTACAAAATAACCTTCTTAAAGGGAGCATTGTAGGATAACAAAAAAAGATACTTTTAACGATCTAGAAGCCAGGCTGATGCTTTTGTACGGCAAATAAATTATTTTTACCGAAGCATGGAGGAAAATCTTGAAAATTTAAATGCAAATTCAAATGCGATTTACAGGGATGGACAAGGTACGGACAAAGATGACTACTAAACAGATAAACAACAAACAAACAAAGACGAAACGTTTATTCAGTATCAACGAGGCGACAATTTCACAGCACAAAAGATCTAAAAGTAATTCCCAATAAGAATAAGAACCAGTATCAACATGCAGTTAAACAGAAAATCGAAACCCCTTAAACCTCTTCCGTCTTCTATAATTGCTGATTACAACAGAAAGAAAAATCAGCTGTGGAACGAAAGACGGTAGTAGGCAAACTGTTAGAGAAATCTCACAGCAAAAATTTTGTCCATTTACCCCCCCTCTTTCTCCCGCTACGATTGTTAACCAAACTTTTAAGTAGCCCACTTATCTGGCAATAATTTAATACACTCGATTGGCCGTCTCAAAATGAGAGGGTGACCTGCATTAGAATTTATGATAGTGTTAAATGTGCGTTAAAACAACAGAATTGAGCAGATTTCCGCTGGCTGATCAGTAGTTCAAAAAGCGTTCAACATATTGATCAAGCATAAAGTATAAGTACAAAAAATTTAATTGGAATGAAAAAAATTAACAATTTAGAGCTTATCGTTAACACCACTAAAGTTTTCAAAACTGTCCAATTCAGAACTGTAATCAAAAAAGTTAAATGCTTCAATGAGAGTGGAACAAACACTTTTGCAGCTGTCTTATCGACAACCTTAAGAGCACTCCAGACATTGTAAAGCAAGAAAGTTAGTATAAACTAAAATGAACTCAGCAGAATCGAGTTTGAAAAGGTAGAGTTAAAAAAAGAGAAGGTTAATTAGCTTTTCTTGGAAAAAATACATAATTAAATCCCGCCTTTGAAAACCCCCTGTTATTCAGGTTTTACATAAGTTTCTTTTCATCATAAACATTAATTTGCTCGCCAAACCAACAATAATTTAATACTGAACACTACGAAAGATTTGAAAAGTTCAGCAGAACAGATAAGTAAGCAAATAAAAAAATGCAACTATTAGCACTCCGAGACATGTAAAATTTACTCCATTTAACTGTCGTCTCACTAAATCGAGTACTCACTTAGCAAAGAAAACTGTTGCACACCTGCCAAACAACTGAGCGAAATTTTTACTACGAAAGAAAAAAGTATTTGCTTTTAGTGGGTAGCAAAAAAAATTTTACTTTCTTCCCTTCCCTGAAATAGAGAAAGAAATAGGCTAATAAACAAATAAATAAATTTTAAGATGGTTAGCCAACAATATTTTACTCACTTTGTTTTGCACTGCTGATACTTCTACAGTATCGACTGTGCAGAATGAAATAAGGATATATATTTATGTATATATATATATATATATATATATATATATA